ATTCTAGATCTCATCATTTCACCTATCGTCTGATTTAGATCCCTATCTCCGTTAGGAGGGGTTTGCTCATTACCTGAAGTCATAGCTTCCTATAAATAATAAAATATTTCAGTCAACTATTATACAGGGAGAAATTCCTAAGTCAGTCACATATATGCAATTTAAGTAATTAGGAACTCAGTCATTACTCAACATAATAACACAAATCAGTATTTACAAACCAAAAGTATATTATTAATATTTAACTTTTTAGTTCATACACATATCTGAGTATATGGGTTTATATATACATATTTTCTACCAAAAATGTCCTACATAAACCAAAAGAGTAACTATGAAAACCCATATACTGATATTACAAAATTGCCCTAACAGTTATGCTCTATTTCCCTGAGGAAGAGGAGCTGCTGGAACTAGACTTCTCCTCAGTTGGTTCAGTCTCCTCTGAGTCTTGGCTATCAACAAAATTGGACATCGGATCTGGATCTATGCCGCTAGTCCCTCATCCTTCAAGGTCGAGGTCTGGACCAATGCCTAGGCTACTCGACTCACCCACAGAGGGGGCAAGTCTCTGGTCATCACTAGGAATCTGGGCTACAAGGGACTCCTTGTCAGAGGGATCAGATGAAATCATAATAATTTCTAAAGGTGATGACTCAATTGGAACAACTTCTACCACGATATCCTCATCCTCAGCATGTTCAAGCTCAGACTCTGATGAATTTATCATAACAACTTCTACTGGTTCGACCTCCGGTGAGTCGGGGGTCATATGGTTAGTCATTATCACGTTCGAATCAGTTTCATCGGAAGTGTATCCCCAGTCTCTCAGGCTGGGTTCCCACGAGCTATCTACGGAAATTATAGGGCTGGACATGGTAGATGACGAATTGGAAGATGAATTGGTTCCGGACATCCTACAAAAGGGGAACCATCCATCAGCTTACTGAGGAAAGAGGACAAAGTGAAATAAAATAAGCATCTAAGCACTCCTTAACAACCCTAAAAGGATTTACTATAAAATATTTATATGCATACATATATACACGTATGTATACAGACATATATATCACGTAATTGATCCATACGCTAACACTCATCTAGCGCATATAATATATGATAGCGTGTCCTACAAGGTTTCTAACGTCAAAACCTAGGCTCTGATACCACCTTACTGTCACGCCCCGAATCTGCAGCGGAAATTCATAAAATACGGGGTATGCGACAGCAGCGACTCGTGCACGAGACAAGTCTTATGCACGAGTCAAGCTTGGCAATTCATATCACATAGTTTATTTTCAAATATTCATAAACCTACTGATGATAGAAATCAGAGCAACTATATATATATATGATCGGTACTTACAGCCCACAAGCTCACCGTTATAAGCATTTTTACAAAACAAAACAAAATGTGCTGAAGGTAACATCAACAAGAAGAGGCTATCCATATAATGTCTCTCAGCCAAAAGCTCAAATCAAAAGTCGGCTAATAGGAGGCTACGCCGGATCTGAAAAAAAAATATTTAAAAACAACGGGTTGAGCTAGCGCTCAGTGAGAATATTTTCCACTAGAGTTCCTAGATAACTAACAAAATAGTAATAAGAATAATTCTCAGAAATAACGAATTTCAAATTTTGCATGAGAAGTTCAAGGATAGTAAAATATGATCCAAATATCGTAATATTGTCATTTTTAAGAAAGAATACAACAATTGTATTTCATTTCTCATGTGCAACTGAATAAACTGTGAAATTTCTTGGAATCAAACCCTTTTTGAATCAAGGTAAACATTAAGAAGGAAAAGAACTACTAATTTGTACAAAATCCGAGAATTTCTGTTTTCTTAATTTCACAGTCAATTATCAGAATCTTATTTCTCGATGAGTAATTCATGAATGTAAAAGTCACCCCATAGGTCACACTAAGGCTACGAATTTTAACCCAGTAACAAGGGAATGCGTAAACCGCATCAGATAACAGATAATTCCCGGGAACAGAATGCACCTAACACTGCCATAGGCTACTGGCCAAATACAGAGGGGTCAGAACAGATTTCAGAAGGGCCAATACAGAAGGACCAAGGCCAATACAGAAGGGCCAAATAAAGGTGCATTCACCATATGGCAGGCAGAACAAATCCATAGTGGACTATTTGAGGGTTTGAAAACATCAAGCTCACATGTCAAATGAGAAGTACTTTGCATATCAGAATTTGCAGATACTTCAAATGAAATTGACAAGGTAAAACTTCTCATTTCTGTTAAAACAGTTTACGGATATTTACTTTTTTCTTTTATCAGATACTAAATCACGAAAAATCTTTGAATCCGTTAACCTATTGAAATACGTTCCAAATATTTCATAAAAAACTTTTAGATATAACAAGTCCACAATTATTTGAAAATTGCATGAGAGCCAAATTTATTTTTTCATATTTTATATAGAAATTAAATTTGCTTTTCATATATCGTACAAGGCTAACATCATATTATAGGATAGACCACAATAGACACAGGTCAAATCTTTAATATACATGAAAAGACATATTATTTACTTATTTAATAAAACTCATGTAATTTAATATTATAAAAATACTAGTGAGAAATGAACTCACCTCTAGTGGTCACGACTTTCTCAAAATATTAGTCTCCCGAATATCAACCAGAACCTATAATGTAAGATTTATGACTAATTATTAATTCAGAACAAACATATATTATAGGTAAATCAATTCATAATCTAGAGTCTAATAAACTCAAATATAATCAATAATAATTAAATTCTACAATACATATGAGCTTGTTATTAACTTTAGCAATTTAGCAAAATTTTATAACTCTCATATACTAGCTTCTGGACTTTCTAATAATTTACGATAATACAGGGGGTTATAGGGAATTTATCAAGTCTAAAAATTATTGTTTATTCCTAAGACTAGATTTATTTACAAATTGAGTAAATAACAGGGGTTTAACAGATATTTTCCAGCCAATTTCAACCATAACCCATAACTCAGTTACTAAGGTCTGTTAGAAATTTTTTTCATGATTTAGGGGCTTAAAGCAAATTTTTCCTCCCTTTATATTAAAAACACCTGATCATCTTCCTCCCTTCTTGGTTTCTTCTTCTTTCGTTCTCTTTTTTTTTTCTTCGGTTCCTCCTTTCTCTGCTCTCTCTCTTTTTTTTTCCTTTTTGGTTTTCTTCTCCTCTCCTCTCCTCTCTCTCTCTCTCTCTCTCTCTCTCTCTCTCCCCCCGCCATGGAGGTAGGACGGCGACGAGGAGCCATCGACGACAAGGAGAGGCCGACGGCGGGAGGCCCCCCCCCCAAAAAAAAAAAAAGGTTAGTTTTTTTTTTTCAGTTTATGTGAAGCCTCCTAATCACAGAAATTTGCAAACCCTAGATTCTTTATTTCACATTCATAACAATTTAACTCCCTCACTCATTCTAATTTGATTCGATTTACTAAGATTTCTATAACAATTCTCTTCTAAATCAAGAAATTAACATAGAAAAGGGTTTATACCTTTGGGTTACTTGAATATTAGATGAAATCCTCTGTTTTCTTGTTCACTGTCTTCTTCCTCTTCTTCTTCTTCTTCTTTTTTTTCTGAAATTTTCTTTGATTTTTCCTGTTTTATACTTCCGTTAAAGAGGTGTCGGCCAAACTGTCGAATGAACTTTAGCCACAAAATCATTAACGTGGCAATTAATCAGGGGTTAGGGTAAAATCCCGAAAATACCCTTAATTAATTCCCTAATCTGTAATTAAAAAAAACTCCATTAATCAAGTTTTTTTAAGGCACTAAATATCTGGGTTACTACACTTTTCACTCTCCGATTTCCATAACAACCAAACATTACGTATAAGAAAAGAGATGCCCATTAATTGTCACATCAACTTTCTTATATTTTTATCATCCAAACAAGATTTATAAATAGAAAGTCATGATAAATACTTTCTCTTCATCTGTAGTCCCATTTACTTCCGGTTATCAAACAACCAATAAGGCAAAGCATTTAATTTTAGAAAGTTCAATATTAAAGTATGCATCGGGATGCTTCACATAGCAAAAAGGATATGCACCATCCATAAATTAATTTATTAATCGTAAATGGTAAAAATAACAAAATTTTCACCCTAAATATTTAGGACCGACTACACAAATCATATTCTTCTTTTTCGTTTGAGCAATGGTTTATCCTCAATTAAAGTTAACCATTATCATTTTTGTTTGATTGCTTCCACCTACGTGATCTTTATCCTCCTAGATTTTATCATTAATTATAGTTTTATTCTTGATGTACATAAAGCTGAATGTATTCTCAGACACTCATTTCTTTCTTAACCTCTGCTCAACTGCTTCCTTAGTATTATAACCTTCTCGAAAGTTTAGTCAAGCCTCTAATCCCAAATCTGCAAGACATTATGAACTCTAACAGGAATATTATACATCCTATTTCTTTCGAGCATTCTTAACCTCACTAATCTCGCTTCTATCATGCATTATGTCATTATGTTGTTAGATGCTTCATATGTTTCCCCTGTTTAGTTATTGTTAAATTTTTCAACATAACTCCACCTCTCTTTAATGACGTCATCAGTCACTAAAACACTATGATCTCCAGACTTGATAGTTGATACATCTAACATTTCTCAAGTCTACTCTTTCTTTATATCATCTCGATGAACTTATATTTATATATCCTCTCCCTCCTAAACTCTAGTTTTTTCTGTGTATTCTTATAAGCCTTGTATTTAGTTTAACTAACTGCTCCTTTGCTTTCTTCTTTTTCTGTTCCTATATTCACATCAATGTTTATCAGATAATCTCTTAGCTTAATTACTTTATGAACTAAAAGCATGTCTTCACTCAGAAAAACATAAAAAAGCATATCCAGCTTACTGCCTTATAAGAGAATTCCCAACCTTTAAAAAAACATCAAACCATGATAATGGATTGAAAGCAAGAGATTTAATTGGCATGTCGCTTTTACCTGAAATACCCTGGCAATTGGCCCACGCTTTTGTTTCCTTCTCTTTAGCCAGTAACTATATACAGCAGATACCGCATCCCTTCTTCCAAACTCTTGTAAAAGATCCAATGCCTTCTCCTTGTCAAAAGCATCATCTCGACAGCAATATGCAATTTTTTCCAAAGCAAATATTACTCTCTCAAAATTTTCTTCGGAGACAAAACTTGGACCACCACCTTCCGCATCTGACAATCTAGAATTTAATTTTTGTAACCACTCCTCATCTGCCACATCCATATTATAATAGGAAATTGCACTTGCTACAGCTCTTCCAACTTCATCCTCTGTACTACGAATGTATGTGTCAGGTTGTACGAAGGAAGGAACAACGTCAACCTCATAACCAGAAACTTCTTTGACCCCTGGAATAGGAACTGTCTTCACAAAAGCAAGTGAAGTATTGCGATCCCTGCATTCTTTGTGCAACTCTTTGAAGATGTGCCAATCAAGCTTCTCACAGAACTCAAGCTTCCACTTTTCATCTCCACTCCAGATATAGGCATGAGTGTATTTATTGACAGTGCAAAGCTTCAGATCTTGAGGCTTGTACAGGAATCTCATCACATTCTCTCTCTTCACTGCGAGAACCCACTCTTGAGAGCCTGACATTTCAAGCATAACTTGGGCCCCATCTTCACGCCAACCTTTTTCTGTATCAGTGACCAAGATGTTCACGTTGCAGCATGCCGAGTCAATATTCTGCCTCACCTGTGCCAAGGCCAACCTCACCTCCTTTACTTCATCGATTGAGGTCTTCATCCCTACTGACTTTCTTAGCATTGAAGAAGATCCAGGGAATGAAGCAATGACATTTTCCTCTCTACCGTTTAATAAGTCAGGACTGGGAGAATTAAGGGGTATCACACTGACAGGGGGCACTGCAAAGTCGCGTATCCTGGAAGAAATAGGTGATATCTTCTGAGTGGAGCCAAGTGAACCAAAACTTCGCTTAGTTTTCGTCAATGTACTTCTCTTTCTCTGAAGTTTCCGGAGCTCAGCACCATGTATGATAACTGACTTCTGTGAACCCAGCAAAGAAGTGACTGCAAGAGTAGGCAGTTTATCCATCTTCACAGCAGCAGTCTCAGAAACTGTAAAATCAGTGCCTGAAAACCCCGTCTCTGAAGGAATATCATCACCACAAAAATGTTCTTCACACAGAGCAACAACCAAAGAATTTCCAGTCATGGCTACCAAATGTTTTGAACCAAGATTACTGGAGAGATATTGGGAACCAAGAATTGTAGTTGCATATAAGTACTTGAAATATGAAGGGATTGCAGAATAATCAATAGATAACAGGGGAACAAACTCTCTGCCACCGTGAATCTTACAGAATCCACCTCCAGACACAGAGTATCTATCAAGAATTCTCTAAACAAGAAAACATCACAGGCATGTTACTAAAAGGAAAGCCAGTTCTTGAAATGCTAAATAATAATAATAATAATAATAATAATAAAAGAACTTACATTTTGCTGATGCCGAACGGGTAAGAAATGGATGCCATTCCTAGAGAAAACACTGCATATGGATGCTCTTGAAAGCAATAAAGTGAGTTTCATTAGCCCAACTCTTTCTTTCCTCAGCCAGTTCATCACTGAAACAAGAAGACCCTCAAACCGATCGGAACTACGAACAACAGATGAATCCACAAGCGCAACAAGGACCACTGAATCACAATCCAATCCAGTCCAAAGATCACTATCCAAGATTCCAACTTTCTCAAATATGGGGAGCCCAGTGACTCTTTTGGAAGAATCACCTATGATTTGGCCATATTTTGATAATCTTTGAACAAAATTTTGCTGCTTGCGCTTGAAAACGGTCCCAAATTCGTGATCTTGGACATCATTAGACGTTAATCTCCGCCTCTTTTGACTGTGAACTTCCCCAGTCAACTTCTTGGCCTCAACTCTATTCTCAGGCTCTCGTCTCTTTTCCTTTCCCTTCGAGCACTGCTTCAGATTCCGTCCGTCGCCCGTAGCGAGCGCGAACTGCTTCCCCGATCTATGGACTCTTGCAGGA